AAAACATCATCAACCATCACATTTTCCTCTAAACACTAAATACGCTGCATTACAGAACGCTCTTTATACCAAGGCCTTTCATAGTGATTCTCTCCATCAGACAAACAGACACACTCTCTCTCACTGATGGTGGTGGAGCTGCAGCAGGTTCAGAGTCTTGTTCAAGGACACTTCAGCATGTGGACAGGAGGAGCTGGGGACTGAACCACCAACCCTTTGACTTCCTCCACTTCCTGAGCCACGGCTGCCCCGAACTCACTGCCCACCTCCAGATCTCAGCATCCAGATGTGGGTTTTGTTCGTCTGAAGGAATATTCCAGTGAAAATGTCTCGTTTCACTATCAAATCCTCTCCACCTGTAAGCTTGAAAGGTGACTCAACAGTTTGTAGCATCACTTTTAATTGCTGCTGTAAATCCACAACTTCAGAGATGTGGGGAGGTGATAACGCAGCACAGAAGTAGAGTCTTTAACTATGTTGAGTTTGGAAAATGCTGAACAAACAGATCATCAGCTGACAACTGGATTATGCTGCTGGACTAGTTGAAGTTTCAGTGGCATCTTTTCTTCTTCTGTGGTCTGATTCTGATTGGCCACTAGATGACACTGTAGCTGCTGTTAATCCAAGCTGAGCCACATTATCAAGTAGGCGGTGCACTACTTCTGCACTGTGTTCAACCATTCTGTCAATAATAACTGCTGCTGTGAAGAGAACAATTCTCAGACAATGTTGAACATCAGCTAGTTTCTCCTGTTGATTTAAACCTTGTTGTAGAGATGGAACATTGGCTGGGGATTATTCTTGCTGCTCTTTTCTTTGGTAAGATAGAAAGCACAACATCTTTTTATTCTTTTCTAAAGATTTATGGAAACAGCTGAGCTGTTTGTGTCCACAGAGTAACACTGTACAGCTGCCATTTTCCACTGTCTTCTCCTCTCAGCCTCATGAACAATGTTAGTCTAATGGCTTCATTTGCTCTACTTTTTCCAGGACTAATAGCTGGAGACACAATCTCTCCTGTACGAGAGGAAGTCAGTGAAAGAGAAGGACAATCTGTCACACTCTCATGCAACTATCAGACAACATACAGTTATCCTGCTTACTGGTACAAACATCATTCTGACCTTCAGGCACCTCAGTTTATACTCTGAAAGGAGCAAAATCGGAGTTAGTGAACATATTCCTGATAGAAGATATGAATCTGAAACATCAGCAACATCAACTACACTGACCATCAGAGATCTAACCCTGGCAGACACAGCTCTCTACTACTGTGCTCTAGAAACACAGTGATACAAAGTGTAGAAGAGGCTGTACAAAAACCTGAACCCAGATATCTGACTACTCTTCAAAGAGGAGGGAAGTGGTATTCAAACCACAGCTTCATATCAGATGGATTCTGCGAATTCCTGTTTTATCAGAGTCACTGTGGTTCCAGCTGCTAATGAAACACTGGGGGAGGATTCACAGGAGCATTATGGGTAGTGGGGATCTGTAAGTTTAACCAGGTGTCAGGCTCCAACAGAAGTTGTGTACAGATTGCAGTCAGAGCTGTTTGCTGTTTCAGCCAGGTGTTTGTGTCCAGATTCCTTCAGGTGAATTTCCTGCAGATTCCTCCTTCAGTCTGACCTTCTTGGATGATGATGACTGCAGCATCACTGTCATTTCTAAAGCTTCCATCAGCCTGAATGGAAACAGAGCACAGCAAGAGGAGGAGCTCCACAACTGAATATGAAAGGCTTCATGTTGGAAGTGAAGAGCTGCTGTGTTCTCTCTATTGTTCATTCAGTACAAGTGGAAATGATGCAGCTCTGCTTAGTTTGGATGATCATCTTCATGTTTCACACTGGTGAGTGAAATTTAACAGGAGATTTTAAACATGACTCAGAAAACATTTCAGTTTGGCAAATACTCATTTGTTTTCTCTCACTTTAAAGAAATATCAGAGTGAAATCTATCTTTGTCTTTTTCAGGATCCTCTGAGGATTTAGTGAAACCATTTAAAGATGTAATGCTGGCTTTGGAAGGAGACTCTGTGACTGTCTCCTGCAACTATTCAGGATCTTTCGACTACTTCTTCTGGTATCAACAGAAGTCCAGTTCATCTCCACAGTTTTTCCTTGCAGAATATTCAAAGAAAGCAGGGTTTTCTTATAAACATGACAAAACAGCAAAGGAGTTTCATCTGCAGATCTCCTCTGCTGCAGTGACAGACTCTGCTGTGTACTACTGTGCTGTGAAGCCCACAGTGACAGGAAACACCAAAACTCTGTACAAAAACCTTTGGAGCAAAGACAACAGAATACTCCACAACGTCCACTAGAGGGAGTCACACACTGTTAAACTTCAGTGGTTTATGATCTGAATTTGTGGTGCTGGTGATTAAACAAAACAATGCAGCAGCAGCATGTGGAAGATACTACAAGTTCTGAAATGTTATTTTAAATCAATTCCGACAAAGGATGATAATGATGTTGGATGTGTTTATATAAAGAGAGACTATCAGCAGCCTAATAGCTGAGAGTTCTCAACCAAGGAAGTCCTTTCTCTCCACTGCTGTTTGATCTTAAGGAGTAAATAATTAAAATGTCCATTCTGTAAAAACACATGATGTCAAGGCTCTGACTCAGCATCTGTCAGATATACCGGGTCGTTGCACAAATTCTGTAAGCAGTCCCTGTGCCCCACCCCCATTACCCACTGCCCCCACCCCCCAAAACCCCCCTCCAACACACATGTCATCCGAAATGTCAACACATTTCAACCTTTTTTCAACATTTACTTCTATGCAATGACTATAATTGCTAAATGCTTTCACCCCCCACTACGATGGCCCTTGGTCAAATATACAGGATCCAATCTGGAGATTAAAACATTTGTAAACCAATGATGGTCCATTAAATTGTTTACAGAACAGAATTCATGGATGACCAAGTAATGATCAAGCATAAAACGATAGAAGGAAAATTTGACATATGCAAACAATCTTCCTGTCTGGAGCTTAACATCTAGTTTACTCAATTTATTTTTGTAAAGACGTCTCATGATATGATTTGTCCTAAAATGTGACACAAATGTAATAATGTGAATAGTACTGTTTGAGTAATGTATTGAATAAGTAATTAATGTGGCTGTCATGTGTAATTGAATAGTTGTATATCGTCTGTCTAAAGATTGACCTCAGTCAGGACCTTCACATGTTCTGTCAAAGTCAACCAGTTTTACCTTATCAGCTTCTTGTTAACTGATGGAAATGATGTCATGTAGTGAATTACAGCACCACAGCAGAGACAAACTCACTATTTGTCAGAGTTGTGAGAGGAAGGAGGGAGGGATTAAGGGAGGAGCAAAACTGGGACTCAAGGACAGAAAAGACAACAGGACCCTTCTATTAAGAATTCTCCTAATATTAATTACATGATTGCTGATTATGGCTTGGGCGTGCATGGCTGCTTCTGGAACAGGCTCATTAATATTTATTGATGATGGAACTGATGATGGTCGCAGCAGAATGAATTCAGAAGTGGACAGAAACATTTTGTCTGCCAGTTTACGGAGAAATGCATTGAAACTAATGGGGAGGAAGTTCATCATGCAGCAGGACAATGAGCCAAAGCACACTGCCAACAAAACAAAGGACTTAGAAGGTTTTAGACTGGCCAAGTCAATCACATGACCTTAACCCAATAGAGCTGCATTTCACCTCCTTAAGAGGAGACTGAAGAGAGAAACACCCCGAAACAAACAAGAACTGGAAGATGCTGCGGTAAAAGCCTGGAAGAGCATCACAAATTAAGAACACAACAGTTTGATGTCGATGGGTCGCAGGCTTGAGGCAGTTACTGCAAGCAAGGGTTCTGCCACCAAATATTAAATGTTGTTTACTTTAAGATTAGTTGTTCCATTACTTTGTTCACCTAAGAATGCTGTGGTCTAATACAAACGGTGGTTTGTCCTGAGTTGTTTAACACATCTAGATGTGAATACCAGGAAATAAAAGCTGAAATTCTGAACTCTGGTCTCATCTTTTGATCTTGAACCCAAATGTCAACAAAAACAAAGGAATTTGCCTCTTTCCAATACTTTTGGAGGGGACTGTATTGTGTTAACACAGAAGTCTATAACTATGGAACCAAACAACAAACATTATGGAAAGTGCATAGTTCAGAAACAAATAGCATTTAAGAGCTAGCATCTTGTGGCTATGAAAATATTCAGAACAAACTCGAGCCCAAATTAAGGACAGCTAGAAGGAAGGAGGAGGAGAAATTTAAAACCCGCTGTTCTTCAATGACCAACAAAACACTGTGGGACAAACATGGCTCCAGCTAAAAAGAGTCTTTGTGGTTTTAATGAGGTGAGAAGGTCGATGAGCTAAACAACTTTGATGAGAGGTTTGAAATAGCTGACTTCTCTCAGGAGCAAAAAGTGGCTCTTCATACATTATCTGCTAGGGTTCGGCGATGGTTACAAATCTACAGTGAAACATGGGGATGGACGATGTCATCGGGTGCGTGGGGGGAGGTAGCAGTCGTCTTATGTGCATGTGTTCTCACACAGACTTCACTCTGTAAAAATATTGGTAGACTATTAACTTACGTTACAAGTCTCAGTGACGGACCACGACTTTATAAAAACATACTACTGATGGAGAAAATGAAGCAGACGGGGGGAGTGAGACAGACAGAGGCGGGGCAAGCCGGGGTGTTTACCTGAGGTGTAGGTGTGTGTGAGTGTGTCAGAGTGTGGGGAGAAGAGACTTCCGAGGCAGGTGCAAAGCATACTTCAAATCAATAATAAGAATGTTTGTGGTCATTAAAACCTGCTTTCACAGGGTGGTATAATGTGAAAATTTGAGAGTTTTGTCCCGGGGGTTTTACAATCACGATGCCGGCTCAACGTCATGATGTCTGTCAGCCATCGCCGATGGACGATGGCATCGTCTATCAGCCCAACCCTATTATCTGCATCAAACTATCCAAAAATACCCACTGATCAGCATGTTCTCACACACCTGCCCCAGGAAGACCACCGGACCAGATGGCATTTCTGGGTTTCTGCTGAAATCATACAGTGAAGATCTGGCAGAACCCTGGTGTCCTATCTACCAGATGTCTCTGGACCTACGTGATCATCCAGTTGCTTTGACTTCAGTAGATATGAAGTGTTTTGAGAAAGTCATTATCAACTTGTTTGCCTGTAGGTGTGACAGAGGTACGGCTGCTGCAGCCATTTACATTTTCTACCAAAGCGCTTAGAGGATCCTACCTCATATGCACATCTTTTATTTTAGATTTCAGTTCAGCTTTTAATACGGTACAGCCAAATCTACTTATTATATATATATATTATATGGATGTCCCCCATGGTTGTGTTAGTTCACCTATACTTTTCACCCTGTACACAAATGAGTGTAGAAGCCATAACCCTAACTATTACATCATTACAGAGACCTGCCCCATCAATATCCCGGATCAACCACTACCGGATCAAAATGGACTCTGTTTCCCTAATGTCTGACTGTTTATTGTGAAGATGAAACTTTCATATTATCATCTGGTTGCTGTTGTTTGTCAAAATCTGTCTTAGTGAGCACTTCTGCTTTGTGGAGATAATCCATCCACCACACAGGTGTGGCATATCAAGATGCTGATCAGACAGCATGGGTCTTGCACAGGTGTGCCTTAGGCTGGCCACAATAAAAGGCCACTCCAAATCGGCATGCTGACTGCAGGAATGTCCACCAAAGCTGTTGCCCGTGAATTTTATGTTCATTTCTCTACCATAAGTCGTCTCCAAAGGCGTTTTAGAGAATTTGGGAGTACATCCAACCGGCCTCACAACCGCAGAACACGTGTAACCACACCAACCCAGAACCTCCACATCCGGTATCTTCACCTTCAAGATCGTCAGAGTCCAGCCAACCGGACAGCTGCTGCAACAATCGGTTTGCATAACCAAAGGATTTCTGCACAAACTGTCAGGAACCGTTTCAGGGAAGCTCGTCGTCCTCAGCGGGGTCTCGATCTGACTGCAACTTCGCACAGCCATTGAAGAGGAGTGGACCAACATTCCACTGGCCGCAATCAACAACCTGATCAACTCTATGTGAAGGAGATGTGTTGCGCTGCGTAAGGCAAATGGTGGTAACACCAGATACTGACTGGTTTCTGGACCCCACCGTAGCCCCCCCACTACAGTGACACTGCACATGTTCGAGTGGCCTTTTATTGTGGCCAGCCTAAGGCACTCCCCATGCTGTCTGATCAGCATCTTGATATGCCACACCTGTGAGGTGGATGGACTAGCCTGGAACATCCATGTGGACAGTTTCTGTAGCAGATTACAACAACGACTGCACTTCCTGTGTCAACTTGGACTTCATGGTTTTGATCAAAATTTTTGTTAGTCTTTTAGAGACTCATCAGATACATTTTCAAATACAATAATCATGGCAGCTGGTTCATTACATGTGTTGTATTTTGTCCTGCATACCTTAAACAGCACTTAATACCTTATTGCTCGACATACTCACTTAGACACCTCCAATGTCCAACAAATTTTACGGTACCAAGGTCGTTTTCTGTAGCTGGTAGGAGAGAATTTCAATATAAGGCCCCTCAAGACTGGAATAACCTTCCTCTTTTCCTGAGATCTATTTCCACATTTCGCTTATTCAAATGGTCACTTTTTTCTTTTCTTGAAACTACATGCTCTTGTTATTAAGAATACCAACGGTATTACATATAAATGGTTTATGTAGAAAATATATTAGTATGTATATGAACATGACTCTTTCTGTCTTCATTCTCTTTATCTTGATTTTCTTTGGACATTCCTATGTGAGGTGTGACGTTATCCTGCATGTTACATTTTGTCATAAGGCATATTGATAAATGACGTATTGGTTGTTTAATGCACTCAGCTGATTATTTGTCAATATACTTTAATGCTATGTTAATTGTGGGGGTAAGGGCAGGAGAGCGAGATTTTGTTTTGTATGTATGTCTGTGTATTGTGTTTGTATATGTGTGGTTAATTTAGTGTCTATGCATGTATGCTACAGGACCCCCTTGAAAATGAGATGATACATCTCAAGGGTTTATCCTGAAATAAATTCATATCATGTGAAGTGCACTTGTTCTGGACCTTCCTACAACTGAGTGAGTCTAGAACTGAGATCCTTTTATTGGCCCCTCAAATCCTGTCAACCACTTGAAATCAAACTTTGCTAAGATGCTCACTGATGTTCAGCATAAATACTCTGGATACAAGATTCTGTAGTGAGGTTTGTTCAGTTATCAGCTGACTTCAATTGAGTCCTTCTTGTGTTTGCAGAGATGATCCATCCTTTGAACTATGCTTATACTTTAAAATTTAAAAGAAAAAAACCTTTCAGCTCGAATAACCTGCTGCTACCAGTCTGTTAACAGGAGGAAGTGGAACAGAGAGAAGTGAAAATCCAGAGCTGCGAGGAGACGGAGAGATTGAGGGAGGAGCTAAGCTGTTAGTGAACTATAGAAGAGAGAGGAACTTCCATATTCAGCAGAGTTCAATACACAAAGCAGAAACATTCCCTTTATTCAACATGCTGTCATTGGACTATTATGTACTTTCTCTACTGTTACTATCCATTCTAACAGGTATGTGAGATCCTGCTGAGAAAGTTTCATTACTAACTTTTCTGGATGGGATTCATTTGTTGAGTCTTTTACAACATGAAATAACATAACAATAAGTTATCTCTTCCTTCAGGTGTCAGCTGTGAAGAACTCACTGCAGTCAGGAATGAAGAGTTCACTTTAGAAGGCAGCTCTGTTACTCTGTCCTACAAATACTCTAAAAAAGCTGATGGTCAAGATCGATTCTTCTGGTATCGACAACATCCAGGAAAACCACCAGAGTCTCTCATCTTTCACTTGGGAACACAAAATGCAACAAACTCTAGATGGTCTGTTAAAGTGAGTGATGATAAAACCCATCTGGATCTGCAGATCTCCTCTGCTGCAGTGACAGACTCTGCTGTGTACTACTGTGCTGTGAGGCCCACAGTGACAGGAAACACCAAAACTCTGTACAAAAACCTGACAGCTCCTCTGAAGATTTACTCACTGCAGCTCCTCCTTTAACTGAACAGCAGCGCCACCAAGTGGTCATGGTGTTTAATTGAGGCTATTTCTGTACAGTAAGGCACTCCACAAGGAAGTCTTCTTCTACACAGAATGCTTTGGTATCACTGATGATGAGACAAACTAAAATGATTACAGACCCATGTTGATGAATTAACTATTCCAGGGTGAAAAGTGGTTAAAGAGACTTTGTTGTAACAGAAAGTTCACATGTTAAAGCTCCTCATTATGAGCTGCTCTGGATAAGAGCATCAGCTAAACAGCTGAGATGTAAATGAGATGTAAATGTTGAGAGTTCCTCAACAGATGATGAAGAGGAAGGGCCAATGATGTGAAGGCCCAGATCCATCAGAGTATCAATGTTCTTCCTCTCTCTCCTCCCCTCTCACTGCAGACATGAACCACTGGCTGAGAAACATCCTGATTCTGACTCTCTGGCTAGGTAACTCTTTAAACCTACTGATTGTTCTCCTTTAATCAATCATCTTTATTGATCCATCTCTTCCTCTGCATGTTCTCTTCTTCCCCAGAGTGTAAAGGAGAAGACAGAGTGACCCAGCCAGCAGGAGATGTCATTGCTGCTGAAGGAGACACAGTTACACTTGGCTGTAACTTTGAGACGAGTGACCCATTTCCTGCATTGTACTGGTACAAACAGGATAGAAAATGCCTCAAATTCATACTAGTCTGCTCTAAGGTTGGCCCGGGGAAAACAGAAGACAAGTTCAAGGAGAGATTTTCATCCACACTGAATTCCACCTTAAGATCAGCTCCTCTGAAGATCCAGAAGCTTCAGCTGTCTGACTCTGCTGTGTACTACTGTGCTCTGCAGCCCACAGTGACAGGAAACACCAAAACTCTGTACAAAAACCTTTGGAGCAAAGACAACAGAATACTCCACAACGTCCACTAGAGGGAGTCACACTCTGTTAAACTGCAGTGGTTTATGATCCAGTCAGGATTTGTTTTAGTAGTGATAGAAGCAACATTAAATGAAGCACCACAGATAAAACACAATAAACAAATAACAGAACTTGAATATGTTCATAGTATTTTCAAAGTATCTCCAATACTACTCCAGCAGATTGTTTTCACAGACAATTGAAATGCTTGGTGACTGTAACCATTGCAAGCTTTAAGCTGTGCTGCCTGGTTTGAAGCAATATGTAGACTGTAATAACTAAACCCCCATTTGCACCTCTCACCATAATGTCCGTTGAATTCCCACCTACAAGTCCCTGCTCAAAAGCAGGACAGCACAAGTAAAACTGTACTTGTTTGGAACAATGATGGCATTGAGACCTTAAAGGGAAATGAAGCAGTCAATCAAGTTTACATCATTTACACAATGGATTTCCACTACGATCGACAATTATACAAGAAACATGACAAATGTAAACGTATAAAAGACAAAAGAAAAGAAGAACTGTCATATCTTTCACAGAAAGGGCGCCACCATTATGCAGTACTATAACCTGCAATGTCACGGGGTTGGTTGGCTTTAAGGCTCTGGGCGAGAGATAGTGAAATACAGAGCCAGTGAAAAAGACAGTGAAACACAGAGATAGTGAAAGAGATACTGAAGAGATGGTGAAAGACAGAGATAGTTAAAGATAGAGCAAGTGAAAGAAAGAGCCAGTGAAAGAGATAGACAAAGAGACATAGTGAAAGATAGAGCAAGTGAAAGAGAGATACTGAAGAGATGGTGAAAGTCAGAGATAGTGAAGAGATACGGAAAAGATACATATTGAAAGAGATAGTGAAAGAGATGAGGGAAACAGTGAACGAGAAATAGTGAAAGAGATACTGAAGAGATAGTGAAAGACAGAATTAGTTAAAGATAGACATAGTGAAAGACAGAGCCAGTGAAAGAGGTAGTGAAGAAGAAATAGTTAAAACAGAGATACTGAAAGTGATTGTGAAAGAGATAGTGAAGAGATACAGAAAAGATAGTAAAGAGATAGAGATATTGAAAGATATAGTGAAAGACATAATGAAAGAAATAGTGAACGAGAAATAGTGAACGAGATAGTGAAAGAAAAAGAGAGTGAAAGATAGACCGTGAAAGACAGAGATAGTGAAAGATATACATAGTGAAAGACAGAGCCAGTGAAAGAGATAGTGAAATAGAGAGATAGTGAAAGACAAAGAGTGAAAAATAGACCGTGAAAGAGAGTGAAAGATAGACGGTGAAAGACAGAGATACTAAAAGAGAGAGATAGCAAAATAGACAGTGAAAGACAGATATTGAAAGACAGATAGTGAAAGAGAGATAGTGAAAGTGAGAGATAGATGGATGCCACGAACAGAGGACAACCAGTGGAAAGTCAGAATAGAATCAAATATAATAATTGTTTTGAAAGGTTTTCAAATTATTATTATTTTCATTGTCAGTTATTTTAGTAATTGTTCCTTTATTTTTATTTTTTTTATTTGTTTTATTTCACGTTTATGGGTAATGGGGTTCGGGACGTAGCAACATGTAAAAGGAGATGGCAGACATGAAAATATATTTTGAATGCTTTTTATATGCTAAAGCAAGATTAAATAAATGTAATAAAGAATTCCAAATGTCACAGTGAAATATATCATTATCAAAATATTGCCTATAGACACACGCACACACCTGTCTATAGATTTGTCTCACTCTTAACCCTGCCTTGGCCGACCTCGTCCTTTCTCCCAGTACTGTATCCTTCTCAGATTATTTCCCACACAGTTTTGAACCTGGTATCTTATTTCCTCTACCTGCAGCTTTTGGTGTGCAGCAGTCTCTGTGACCATCTCCCTCTTATTTTATCGTAGCAGTCAGCCTTGGCAGCGGCTGCAGCACTACAGCAGGTCAGTCACTGTGAGCCAGTTCCAAATACTGTCAGCGATCTTTACATCTTGTCACGGTCACATATTTGTTTAATCAGCTAATATCTCCTAAGTTTGTTATAATATCGATAGTCACAGATCACCACCAGTAGTATCAGCAGCAACATCCCCAGCAACACCATCAACAGCCCACAGTGTTTAAAGCAAGAGCTGGGTATTCCCTGTGTTTCTTTTTCAAAACTGTGTCATACCATTCGCTGATGTATCAATACAGAAGCATCAGTATACGCATATCAGCAAGGAATACATAACGATATATTTCTGTATCAATATTTTGAGAACAGCCCTATTTAAATCCTTGTTCCATGTGCCCTTTTATACTTTGAGTACCTGCCCTGGTTCTGATAGCAGGCACTTTAAACTGTAGCCTATTATGTGACCTGAGATTATGACTGCTTTGTAAAGTTAAAAATGTCCTGTTTAATAATTTGGAAGTCTACCTAACATATCTTTGCAAGTGAAGGGATGACCATCCTTCCAGTCTGCACAGTATACAATGATGTATCCTGAAACTAGAGTTAGTGACATATCTGAGAGCTGAGTGATAAAGGGGGTCAAGTTTGGACAAGGTGGACAGAGAGGCAAACCTGTAGGTAGTGTCCCTATAATCAATCTGTGGCAGAAAAAGGCCAGCAACTAAGTGTTTTTGTGAAGCCATGGAAAAGCAGGACTTTCACCTATACAGAAAAGTCAACGTGATAATCAACATGGTATTTAAAATTTAGGTTTTTTGTAAAACCGGATTCCCAGATATTTGTAATTATCAACAGACTGGATACAGACTCCATACAGGGTCGTGATATAGAGGGGTGGTACCTTTGTTCGCCCAGTGGCAAAAATCATAACTTTAGTTTTGTGGGAATTTAACTTCAAATCTGACAGAGCATATTGCAGGGTATAAAAATCTGCCTGCACATTTGAAAAGGCAAACTCTGCTGTGGGGGCACAGGAGTACAGAACTGTGTCATTTGCACACAGATGATCCTTACAGAATTTAAACATCACAAATATTATTAATGTAAACTAGGAAAAGCAAGGGTCCCAAAACTGAGCCTTGTGGAACACTTTTCCTAACAAGGACTGGATCTGACATGTCGTTGCCATGTTTATCCATTTGTGAACAATTGGTCAGGTCAATCCAAACCTCAATATTATTAACACTACATCAACATTTTTTAAATAATTAATTTGTGAAGCTGGAACGATGAAATGTTTTGACATGAAAAATGACAAATGATCAAAACAGCTGCCAATAAAAACATTTTTTTCAACCAACTAATTGTTTCAGCTGTGCTTGAATAAACTGTTGGGTAATTAAATTAATTACAAAACATTATATTTTATAAACTCTTCATATGTAGTACAATGCTTACTTTGTAAAGTAACAAAAGCTGTTGTAGTGAAGAAAAAAGAACAATCTCTCAGTCTGAGTTTGGTGGAGACACAAAAAGTGGCATGAATAGAATATAATCATTTGTACATAAGTACAGTACTTGAGTAAATGTACGTAATTACTGTCCACCACTGAACGGCAGCATAAGATTCATTTCCAGAGATGAAGGTACAGGTACGTAGAGAAACAAATAAGGTATATGTTGGAGTAAAGTGAGAACTGAGTGGGAAACCGCTCTTAAAATCCTTCTGCCAGTTATAAAATTTACGACTGAGAAAGATAAAACATCTATGGGACAATTTGATAAATGGGTTGAAATATGTTTCCTGCGAAATCGAATAAAAGAGACAAAACCTACCATTTAGGGCAGATATGCTCTATGCTATATAAACCAGAACTGAGGGAAAGGAAATACTTTACTGGTTGCACCTCTGTATGTTTGTCTGACACTTTGTAAAGAATAAAATTCTTAGACATCTTGACTGATTCTTTATTCCAGAAGACTCACTAAAGTAAAAGTTCAAATACATCTGACAATAAATTATGGACTGTAAGTTTGATGCCTTGTAATAATAAGCAGGTATGTAACGTCGGCCAGAGTCCCACTGCACTTTCACATCCAGACAAGGATGGACAAACACCTTAATGTTTCACTCCAAAGCCTGAGTCATGACCAGTTTCACACCAGTGTTTGGAGACAGAATAAGCTCCATGTTTGCACAGACTGCCTTCATTTGTTAGAGGGGGAGATGTCCAACCATAATTAACACAAACATCTCTGCTTTCACTGTCAGTAATGCGGCAGCTCCAGAGATCGAAGCACCTAAATCAGCCCTTGGAGTCTAGAAAGGACGTGACTGCCCCATTGTGGGAGTGAGGGAGTGTTTGCTGAAGCCTCTACGTGGTAAACTGGTGGTAGCAGCTCTTAACCATTCGCTCTCAGTGGAATATCCTGTTTGAAATGGTCGACACCACTGAGCTGGTTTTGGAGATCCTTATGTGTTCTGAACATGCTTCATATTTTAGCCCTTTATCTGGAGAAGCTGTGGACAGGCTGGCAAACTGACAGGCCTTTAATATGATGTTGATACCATCTTAAAAACATTCACTAATTGATCCTAATTGTCACACTAGGAAAGGAGAGAGTGAGGAAAATGTGTTGAGTGTAAAGTTGTCAGTCGGGGAATAACACAGGGCTGTGAATGAGCCCCATCACTGTGATCAGGCTCCTCCTTCTAATCCACCAACTTAGTGTTGATGAAGACTAAACAGAGAGATCACAGCCTTCTTTATACTTGCTGGAGCTCACAGTTCCTCAACACTGCAGATATGACGCCTCTGTTCATCTCAGTGTTGCTGGCTGCTGTGTGCCTTGGTATGAACACAACTCTGGTTCTCTGATATCAATCCAACATTGACATGATTCTTTAACAGCACACTGATACTGTTTGTTGCTGTTTTACAGAATGCAGAGCACAAAAAGACAACGTGCTGCAACCAGAAGGAGATGTGACTGCTGCTGAAGGAGAGACAGTAACACTTGGCTGTCTATATAACAGCAGTTCAACAAATGATTATCTCTTCTGGTACAAACAGGATGGAAACAACAGCCCCAAATTCATGTTGAGCCGCATGCAAGGGGTCGAAGTAAAAACAGAGGACGAGTTTAAGGAGAGATTTTCATCCACACTGAATTCCACCTCAAAATCAGTTCCTCTGAAGATCCAGAAGCTTCAGCTGACTGACTCTGCTGTGTACTACTGTGCTCTGCAGCCCACAGTGACAGGAAACACCAAAACTCTGTACAAAAACCTTTGGAGCAAAGACAACAGAATACTCCACAACGTCCACTAGAGGGAGTCACACACTGTTAAACTGCAGTGTGATGATGAAGTCTTGAATCAGTTTACTCCATCACCAGGATTGTGATGTAAAACTTTAGAAATGAAGCCACTAAAAATATATTTACCCTAAATGAATAAACGTGTTTAAATGTTATAGGTTTAAAATATTTCGATAAGGCCTAAAATAGCTAGCACGTAGTAGTTGTTCAATTCTTTATTTAATCACAACATCAGTTTCCATTCACTACCAAAGACCAGGCCAGTAAAGATATGGATTTTGAATATGGGATCAGAGTGATGAATGAGGTAATGGAAAGGTGAGAGATGGAGAGTTGAGGGGAGGGATCATGGTGATGGATGGAAGGAAGAGAACGATGGATCGGTGGCAGGTAGGCAGGAGGGATCCAGGGGAGTTGAGACTGAGGGGGGAACAGTCTCTTCATGTGCTCTGTATCACATAGAACCCCAAGAAGAAACTTCAAATGGAAAGATGTTTCAGACAGAGGCGGAGCCAGACGCTGTAAACATTCGGGGCTTAGCACAAACCTGGGGGGTCCGGGGCCATGCACCCCCGGGGAGATTTTTTCCCATTAAGCCGGCTACGTGCACTATTTTTCATGCTGTTTGAGATGAAGAATGCCTAACAACCTAGACACTATCTGGGAAAAAGATGAACGTTGCTTTGGAAAATAATCGTCCTGTAGAGCTCCAATCTATTTTGGATTTAATTGTTCTCCAGCTGGAGTTAATCCAAAACACAACTAATGTTGAAGATCACTCATTTTCTCTCCTGGCAACTAAAAAGAGACAAAACTTATCTGATGTTTCTGTTTTTAACTTACATAACCAAGGTACAGTAGAAATATGGTGTTTCTGATCATCACTGGAGGTGGGAATCTCTCAGCACCTCATGATTCTATTTGATTATAAAACATTTATAAAATCTTTGAATAATCTCTTGTGTATGTGATTAGTGGATAATTACTAAACATTTCATTTACACATTAAAATCCAAAACGTCTCATTAGCTTAGTTTACATCCCTAATTTACTTTAATTTCAGCTCCTTCATGGTCACCACCGTCCTTCTCTCAGCCCTAAACTTAATATGCAATAAATATTAAATGCATATCTTATTCTCTTCACTCCTTTCTTCTAAACACATTTTCATCTCTTATCCCTCTTCCATTTCACCTGCTTTCACTGTTTATTTCTTCTGGAGTCCCTGGATCACCAGTTTGTAGTTAATCCAGCTGCTGTGACGCCCGTCCTTCCTCTTCCCCAGCTGACTCATCTGGGGGACAAAATAACAGTCTCAGACTCAAACACAGTCAGATCAGCTGACAGTAGCTAGCGAGTGGTGATGAGTGGATGAAGCATTATGAAGCTTTGGGGCTTTAAGCTAAGCAAACACAGCTGCATCTGGTGACGTGTAAAACTTTTAGACTGAGGCCGAGACGCCACCACAACTGGCTGAAACTAATAACTTTAGTCTCATGTGTGCAATAAAAGTCAAAAAGGGTTAGGGTTAACCTGACGGTTGATATTTATGAGATTCAGACATGTGATGTGATTGGACAGTGATATTCATTAAACTAGCCTATTATTACTTTTGTCACATCAGTACAGGAACATCTCAAATCTAAAAAAACTGAATATGGTGGAAAAGTTCATTGTGAGCACCAGAACCAGACAGAGATTAAAGGCTTAAGAAACTTTTGCAG